GCCCATGGACCAAGTATAGATCTCTTCTTCCTGACTGGGTCAGGTAAAATTGATGATCCATAACCAATTGGGCTAACATAGTTAATTCAATCATTATCATATTCCTCAACGCGCATGCAAAAATTTCAATTAAATAATTTTATAAACACGTACACTTGAAAGCTTGCTTTTTTTTTTAAACAAAAAAAAATAAGTAATTCATTTTTATTTAATTCTTATTTCAAACATTTCAACTTAGGAAGCAAATTAAAGCAATTTCTCGAATTTAAAAAAGTTTCATTTCATTTTATTATTATTATTTTTGGGTCAAAAGGATAAAGATAAGAGAAAATTACACTATTTACCTCTAAATCCCATGTTATTTGCATATTTATGAATTTAATTTATTTGCATATTTATGAAGTTTTTTTAATTATATATATACTAACTTTTATTGTTTAAGATTGGTCGATTTGTAGGCTATCACCCACTTACAAATAATTTATGTAAGATTTTAATTTGATGTAAGATATAGCCTAAAATAAAAATAAGTTGGGACGAAGGGGTAGTGGTCCATTAAGTCCTATTAGTGGTCCATAAAATTGACAAAATGGTCCATTGTAAATCGTGAAGATTATGCGCCGTTGAGGAAATACAGAAAGAATTAAAAGCGGTTCATCTGAATTCGCTCATGGGCTGGTCCATTTTTGTAGCCCTAACTTAGCTGCCTCCAGAAACTGAACTTGAAGTTGTCACTGGTTCTTATTAATTGCATTTTTAAAGTCCAAATTGTCTTCGTGAAAATTTTTAAAGAAATTTTCATCTATCCTATGTGATTATGAAAATATTACAATTATACCATACATTTATAATTAATTATTTCTTTATTTATAATTAATTATGTCTTTACCTAAAAGATAACATTTAATTGAATAAATGCTTAGATCCAGTTACTATTTAATGCTAACCTCCCCTTATCTAATGCGTGATTTCCGTTTTGGTTACTAGAAAAAAAAAAAGAAAAGGAATAAATCTTGCAGAAGTGGAAAAGATAAACAAACGAGATACTCTCTCATAAAACATACAAAACTCACAATCTTATTTCATTTTAATAATCAACCAAGGAAAATAAAGTAGAAGGAGTCCTTTATATAAGACACCTAAACTCTATTTCTAACTTGTCCAACAAGACAAGAACTCTTACAAAATAATAATATTAAACTCCTAACTTATTCTCCAAAATACCTATTAATAATAATAATAATAATAATAATAATAATAGATACGTCTACACCATTCTCCCCCGGTATCACCATTGAATGTCGCACCTTCATGGTATCACCCCCTTGAAATTCATGTAAAGGCATATATGCAGCAGCCACACACAGAATTTTGAAGTCAGCGTGGGAACCAAAAAACAACATTTGTTTGCAAGGCCGCAACAAATTCCCGTGAGAGAAAAGTTTGGGCCTGCGCAACAGAATAACTACCAATTCTTCCAACAGCTGAATTTCGATACCCGAAACATGATGGAATTCCTCCGACCCCGGAGGCTCCTCATCGAATATCGGCGGACCGTCGTAGAGACCGTCCACTTCGCCGGTAAGACGCACCTCCACCTCCTCGGGTCCTTCATCAAACACCGGCGGACCATTGTACAATAGCCCGTCAACTTCCTCTTCGTCAAATTTGGGGATGTCAACTCGAAACGGGCCCTCCCATCGACCATATTCTTGATCACATTCCCAATCGCGTCAGGCACGATATCCGCCGGCGAGGGCAGCCTCCTCGAGCCTGCCCCTGTCGTCGCATTGATCGTCGCCGTCCACGAAGACCGAGCCCTGTCACCGTATGTCACGACCGTCGTATGCAGCGAAGGGGTCAGCCTCGATGTGCGGGGTTGAAAAATCATCGAAGGGATTCACCTTCGAGACTGTCTCCTCGCCGTCTTCAATCGCCGGACGGTGGTTGTGGAGATCTCCGACGGGGCGCCCCGCCTAGACCACGGCCTCCACTTCCTCCGCGAATTCCCCCGCGCACGCCCCGGTTGCCGGCGTCACGGTACGTTTGCTTGTCCCGAACCATGGTACGGATAGTTAGACGTATGTCCCCGATCTCCGCGGACAGATCTGCAATCTCATGACCCATCATCTCGAGCTGGCGGCCAAACCACTCGGTCCGGCGGCTCAGGTTGTAGATGGCGGCGACACGCCTGTCGTTTGCAGCATCTTGTCGTCGCGACAGCATCGTGAATCGTGTTGACTTCTGATACCAACTGATGTAGGGAATTAGCGTACGAGTGGGAAGGATAAACAAACGAGATACTCTCTCGTAAAACACACAAAACTCACAATCTTATTTCATTTCAATAATCAACCAAGGAAAATAAAGTAGAAGGAGTCCTTTATATAAGGCACCTAAACCCTATTTCTAACTTGTCCAACAAGACAAGAACTCTTACAAAATAATAATATTAAACTCCTAACTTATTCTTTAAGATATCTATTAATAATAATAATAATAATAATAATAATAATAATAATAATAGATACATCTACACCATTACGGTGGTGAATGGATTACGGGAATAGTTTTTCGCGAGGTGGTAGAAACTGCAACATATACCGAAAATATACTGAATATAAACTCTAATCACATTTTAACTGTCAAGAGTTCCTTAATAACGGTTATGCTTGTTTGGACTATGTATATAAACCATACATATAAAAAATAAAAAATANGTATATATATAGTTTATAAACATATTATAACAAGTTACTTATACTCATTTCATGTCTTAAATGGACAATATATATTGAGTTTATGAGTTTATATTTAGTATATATTTAGTAGATACTGCTTATATATACAACATATACTGAACATATACTCCATATACACACAACATATATTGCCTGCCTATACACGCAATATATACTGATGTGAACATATATTGTTCTTTGAAACAAATCACAACTGTTCTTTGTATTTTCTGAAGAAAAAGGTTTCAACTCAATAGGTTTCGCTGCCATAACCACCACCACGTCCACCGCCGTAGCCACTCTCCCCGCGTCCTCCATACCCACAAACAAAAACAATCAAAGGCATTATTTATCACATTTTATCCAGACCTTATAAAGTTCAGGACTCAGTACAAACCGACTAACGAAATATAAAGAAAACCACAGAATTAAATTAACAATGTTGTTATTATCATTAAACCTTTCTGCATAAAACCTAAATGGATAAATAACCACATGCCATGTCCGGGCCGGGTTGGAAACAAAGAAAAATGAAATCTAAATTCATACAGAACCTCATGCCGAATTAAAAACTTGCATTTTAGCCCTCATGTCCATAGTCCCTCCTTCTTTTAAGCTCTCCGTATACCTCCTTCTTTGATTTTTTTTCGCAATTTTTTTGTTTGTGAGAATTTTAGATCATCATCGATCGGGAGACGGGCAGATCAAGGGATTTCAGATCAGCAATTAAACGATGATTCAGATCAGCAATTCCTATTTTTTAGGTAAGTGCATCTTTAATTTAAATTAAATATCTCATTAGCATTTAATGTGCAGATAAAAAGGTAATAACTGTTAAACAATGTATTTTAGGTATAATTGAAATATTTTAGCTTCTTTAGGTAATTTTATAAATAAGAATATAAGGGGTATAAAAGTGTTATATAAAATAAATATGTTTGTATGAGGTGTAAATTCTTCAAATTTTTAAAAAGTAATAATATATACTATAAATTAAAAATCGAAGGTGGGTATCTCGGGGAAATCACTCATTAATAAGTGACTAAGTGAGTGAAAATTTATATATATATAAAGAGGAGCAACAAAACATTAAATTATATTGTCATGCATTAAATTTTACTATCCCTCCAAAACTTTCAATATTCAATTTTATTAGTTTTATGCATTAAATTTTATTAGTCATCCAAAGTTTTCAATATTTAATTTTATTAGTTTTCACATACCACCTAAAACTGTTATATTCGGTTACAAAACATTTAATTTATTTATTTTTCATTTAATTATGATTTGGTACTTTTGCTTTTTTTATTTTCTTTTCTATGAATTTGTATCTGTGCAAATGTATAGGTTGATTACTAGTTTGATCTGCATAAATGTTTTATCCAAGGCATTTATTATGGTTGAATTGAATTGAGGAAAAAAATGTCAACTGCTGTTGATTCAGCTGATATGAGCTGAAAATCTGTCAAGTGATAAACCAAGTGGGAAAAAATGTCGATTCTTTTGTTTTAAATGCATAATGAGCTAATTTGCTTCATCAGATTAGTTTTCCAATTAACTTATCAAATTATTTGTTCACAAAATCTAAATTATTAATTTATGTAGTATTATAAGGATTTTTCCCAGTCTTCTTCTTTGAGTTTGATAATGAGAATGATGTCCACTTGCTTTCGTATCAGCTCAAGCTTACCGAATCATACAAGTGAATCAATCGGTCCAATAGCTCAAATCGAAACCTTTTCTGAGGGAATTGGATATATAAAATTTATTGGTTTTAGTTTTAGTTTGATTTATTAAATAAAGTAAATTAATTTTTAATAAAGTTGATTGAGTGGAGATTTGTATGGGATTTTGAGTTTGTATTTATATAATATTTATAATATAATGATTAAATTTGATGGGATGTAAAAATAAGAGAGACAGTCGTGAATATAATAGGTAACTAAAAATATGTAAATGGATGAATAACAAATCAAAATTGATGTGATGTATGAAAATGATTAATTGATATTATATAATCATTGATAATATGAAAAAAATGAAAGGATTAATATGAGTTGTATTTTAAATTAAAAAGTGTACACATCATTTATCTGAGTAAGTGCTTCATGTAAATCCATTACAATTTGCAACCAATGAAAAAACACCATAATAATTTCTTTCTCAAAAACCATACACTAAACATAATTCCCAAGTAGTACTTTTCTTGTTTGGTCTATTTTTCCTCTCGTTTTCTTTTTTCTCCCAGCCTTAACCACCTCACAAGTCCCTAAACATCACAAAAAGAACAATCTAAAACCAATGGTAATTTTGATTTTTGGCTGTGTAATATTTCCAGTCCCATAATGGTGAGGACCTTCAGAAATATCATATATGAAAAATATATAGTATATAGCAAAACCTATCGAGCAAAAAGAATC